TAGGGCATATTAGTGAAATGAATTCACTAACATCTCTGATACTGGGTTATTCATTACCCTTTAAACTAAACACAGAAGTTCTGCTTCAGCTTAAAATGTAAAAAGCTGGAAAGAACATTAACAAGGAGAAAGAGCTGGATAAAACCACCTCTTGATCCCATCACAGAGCTGAGATCACGGAGCTGCTATGGCAGGCAACCAGGTAGCCTAAAAGGCAAGGAGAGTCGGCCCCCACACCCCTTCTACCTACACTCAGGTCTTCACTGTGGCAGAGCAAAAGAGAAAGGCAAGGGGGTAAGAAAAACATTAGGGCAATCATGACAGGATAAGCCCTCTGGCAGATGCAAAGACTTTGACATTCACATTCCACTCAAAAGCCTTTTCCACACACCTCCACAGGAGCTCCCGTAAAGACTGGAGCAGGGCTGGACACTGGAAAGCCTTCGCACAGGGTACAGGTGGGGAGAAAAGGCCAAGGTAAATATCCACTGTGTCTGGAAGAAAAAAAAAAACTACAAAGTCCTACCCCTAGAAGCAAGTGAGCCCAGGATCCTATACCAATACAGCTGGGAAAGAGCCAGGAAACGCCCTCACGACCTGCAGCAGATACAGACCAAGAAGAGGGACAGAAATGCTGCAGAAACCCTGGGCCCACGTCCAGGCGCAGTGGGCTGAAAGACTAAGACTGGATGCAGACCACAGAGAAAGCCTCCCACCACCGTCATAGCCCTGTAGCACTGAGTAAGCAACAGCAGCCTACTGCTCGGGGTGGGCCAAGAGATAGTGACAACCCCCCACTGCCCACTCTGGTGCAGCTGCCTAAAGAAAGCAGAAAACGAAGCTGGAGCAGGCACAGAAAAAAAGCCTCCAGCGATCCAGCCCCCACGCTGAACACAGAGTAACCATGCTACATTTGAGGCTGGTGGTAACTATAGCAACCACAAAACCAAAACCCAGCTCAGCCCAACTAGATTTATTCAACACCTGAAGAGCATGCCCATTTACAGGCTTAAAAACTGTTTAATTTAGTCCCTACTCTTCTACATAAGATACTTTTAAGCATTCAAAGAGGCAAAGAAAAGAACCTCCCTGTCAGGAAAGAAAGAAAACCAGACTCAAATGACCCAGTAGCCCTTTTATAAATCAGAATCTGCTACTGGCAAATAAAGCATATATGCTGGCACGCACGTGGGGCTGGGGAGATCCAGAATGTCAGGAGATGGGAGCACAGGCCCCTCTACCCTGTCTCAGATCCTAACTAAAAAAAAAAAAAAAAAAAACTAGCCACAAAAAACCCTGTTTTTAGTGTGTCATAAAGTCAAACCATTACAAAATAAAGATTACAACTACAAGTATGAATGCTATGATTCTCATCAAGCTACTGAATAACTCACTGGCAGACATGAAAAAATGCATCTGCTTATAAAGCTTCATAGCTTTCTGAAGTATGCCTATTTTTTGTGCCATGCTTTTTGGGTGAGTGAAAAGCATTTTTTAAATTGTATGGCAATAAAATTTGGAGAAGACATAAAATAAAATATTTCTATGGGATTAACAAGAATAACATTTAAAGTTAAAATATTCTTAATATATGTAATAAACAAAGCAGAAAGGAAAAAAAGATAATCAGCCCACTAGAAGATTGAGTAAAAGACACAAATTAGAAATACACAAAAGAAACACAAATAAAAATTGATATCCAAGGTTGTTAGGAACGTGGAGAACTGGTCACTCTTCACTCACTGCTGAGTAGAGACAGCTGGTAGAAACAGTAATCCTCCAACATCTCAACAATAAAACAACTCAAGGGCCAGGGATTTAGCTCAGTGGTGACATGCCTGTCTCCCAAGCACAAGGTCCTGAGTTTGATCCCCAGTACCAGGGGGAAAAAAAAACAGAACCAAGGCACTATTCACGCTCAAATGCACCCTCCTATCCGGCTACCTTCCTACCAGCTCCCTATTTATCCTATCTTCAAGCCATAACAGATCGTATTTACATCATCCACTTTCATGCCTTTCTCCCAATTCCCTTGCAAAATTCTATCTTTCAGGATGCAGTTCAAACACTTCTTGCCTTACATTCCACAGGAGGAATTAACTGACCTTTCATATATAATCCTATAGTGCTTTGTCTATTCCTCTGACCATTAAAATATTAAACTGAGGTTACATCTCAGATCAGTGGAGATTTGTACTATACAAAGAACTCTAACTCATCAACAACAAAAAATGTGGAACCTGAACAGAAAAATTCACGGTAAAGAAAAAAATAAATGATGAACAATTTGGTTCACAAATAGAAGCGTTTGGCAAAATTTTGCTTGTTTGCCAGCTCTGCACTGGGTGATGAACACAACTGCAGCCATCTTTCCCACAGGAACAAGAATGTGGCCATCTTTTCCAGAATTGCAGAACCGATTAAGTTCATGAACCAAGGTACCACTGTACAACTTCATTAGTAATAAATATAAATTAAAACCATAATGATACCTTTTATTACCTACCAAACTGGCAAAGATCAAAAAAACTGACTATACTAAACATGGAGAAATAGGCATTCCAATAAAACTTGCTGGTGAAGATATAAACTGGCAAGTTTCATATGAAGGAAATTTGGTATTGCCTATCAATATAATAAACAGACACATCATTTGACCCAATTCTATTTCTCAGAGCTTATACTATAAAATATGTTCCTTATATTTGACAAGATACTTCACTGTGACTGATTAGTCACTGAAGGATTATTTATAATAGCAAAAGATTGAAACAATAAATGTATATCAATAGGGAAATACTTGTAAATTATGATACGTCTGCACAATTAAATATTGCACAGTTAAAATGACTAAACAAATCCATATGAAATTACTTCCAAAATATATCATTAAAAAAAGCAAGATGCAAAACAGGACGTATAGTACATTACTACTTATACAAAACTACCACTTACACAAAAAGCATATCTATATATTTATAAATGCATAGATCATCACAACCAACTGGCTAAAGGGCAATGGGAAGATGAATTAGTTTTTACTACATAACCTCATTTTTAACTGCTTACCATGAACATCTTATCTACTCAAAGAGTTAATAAATTATTTTAAATAATTAATTTAAATAATTAATTTTTAAGAAGCAATTATTTATGTTGCTATCAGTTCATCATGAAATCGTTAAGGGTAGAGGACCAGAACATGGGTCTTGTTTATCTCTGTATCACTACCATGTCACACAGTGCTCAAGGAAGCAGGCTAAATAAAAGAAACTACCATGGCAAAGTTCCTAGATATTCAATTAATTTTACAGAAATAATATATTAAGCAACTAGAAATTTATAAATTTACCAAAAACTTTCCACATTTTAGTTTTCATTCTGGGTATCCCACAATCTAAAGCTTGGGTTCTATCAAATTTTGTCAAAAAATGAGATTTGGTAGATTGAACTCTATTTGCTTTTCAGACATACCCTCCAAAGCCAGTGATTTCATTATTACTAACCATGAAGAGCGATTGCTTTGGAGTCATTCTGGGCTAAAATCCTCCCTCCAACACATTCAAGCTGTGTAACTCTGGACATGTGACTTAATCTTTGAGCTTCCATTCCATCTGAAAATGTTTATAATAGTGTCTGTATTTCATAGAACTGTTGTGAAGATTAAATGAATACAATATATACAGTATGCTTAGGATTGTGTTTAGCACATAGTAAGCATTCTATAAATTTTAACTATTAATATTTGACAGCTTCTTGGAATCTTATTATAATTATCTCAGAGCCACTTTTCACCTTCAAAAATGGTGACACTAAGGAGAAAGATGGCAGGCATGGGGGCACATGCCTGTAATCCCAGCACTCAGGAGGCTGAAGCAGGATTGCCAGGATTTCAAGGCCAGCCTGGGCTGCATAGTGAGTCAAAGGCCAGCCTGAACTATATAGCAAGACTCTGTCTCAAAAAAAGGAAGAACACCAGGCAAGGTAAGAAACTAAAGGGAAGGGGGGGGGGAATAAAAGAGCCAACAAAAAAAGGAAGAAGACACTCAGAAAAATAATGTTAACTATCTCTCTGTCTCTACACTTCATTAACAATAAAGCCACTTAGGGAAATAAACAGTGCCTGCGCTACAGCCAGATGATACAAGATGGAAGCTTGAGAATTTAGCCAAAATCTGCCTTTCAGTCCCTTGCCTCAGTAGGAAGCAAAGCAATAATGCCATTAGGCTATTATACATTCAGTTTAACAAGGTACTGAGAGTTATCAATGGAGAAAAAGACAGAGCTCTAATTTCATTCAATATGAAACCAGCTGGGAGAACAGATTTTATTCCTTTATGTTTCTACATGTCCAAACTACATAAAACAATATAAATTTATACATATGTATATAGTGGAAATCTAAAATTCCACTATATTATCTCAGTACTGGTAATCTTGTAATAATTATAAAAAAACATGCAAGCGGAAAGAATGTAACTTAAAGAACAAAAAGAACTGCACACATACACACACACACACACACACACACACACACACGCACGCACGCACAGAGTACACCTTAATTAAAGTTCATTAATTCGAACAGTGGATTCTGTTCTAAAAAGGCAATGAAAGCAAACTTGAAAAAGCTTAGGTTCTGGAACCAAGCCCCTTGGGTTTAAATCCTTGCAGCAGCATGTACTAGCTCTCTGACCTTGGGCTAGTAATACAACCTATCTTCACTGTCTTGATTTTCTTCTCTATAAAATAAGCATAACAATAGCTTCCTCACAGGGTTACTATGGGGTTTAGATTTGTTACTGAATGTCAGTGTTCAATAAATGTTAAATATTATTATAATAAGTCTTATCTTTTCTGCAGGACTGTCAGGCCAAGAAGCAGAGATGATAAGTTTTTACAACAGTATAACTCTGTAAGTCTTTAAGGACCTAAGTATGTTTCTTAATAAAAATTTTAAGCAATGGTAAATGAAATAACAATTAAAATAAAATACTTACTTTGTAGAAGCAGCAGCAAAATGTCTGATAGGCACCTGAATGTTTACAGAACAAGGATAAAGAGATGTCTGATGAATCATCCTGGAAAGGCTATGCCTTTGGTTACGTGTCAAGACTTGAAAGGAAAGACATAAAATAACCATCATATTCATAAATTTTACATTCTAAAAATCAGTATTTTCAAAACAAAAAATATCCAATGTTTTGTGATTCTTTGTGTGTGTGTGTGTGTGTGTGTGTGTGTGTGTGTGTGATTCTCAAACATTCTTTAAAATGTATAATGGAAGCCAAACTTCTAGAAACTAGGCAAACACATATGATATTTGAACAATTTCCTATGTTCATTTATTTTTAACTTAATCTAGTTCAGAGTCAACATGGTGTGTTAGCTCTATTGTTAGGGAATATGTGTATGTACCCCTGAAATGTTTAATAATTTACATTTTATTTATTCATTTCTTAACAGATCACACTTTCACAGAGTTGTACAAGTAGTTCTGAAGATGAGAAGAAAGTGGGGACTTGCTCTCCTCCAAGACTTGTAATGTTATGATAATTAAGACACTTTGGTAGTAGCACAAATACAGACAGACAAATAAAGCAACAAAGGGCTCAGCAGTAGACCCGTACATATATGGACAAAGATAAAATAAGACAAAGAGGTCATTGCAAATCACTGTACAAAGAATTAAGCCATGCTGAGATAAATGACTATCCAGAGGGAAAATAGTATGATTAGATCCCACCACCATTTTGGATTCCATATCACGTGCACACAAAACTCAAACATAGAAAGATTAAAAACTTACATGTGAATGGGAAAACTGAAAGACTTTCAGCACATAGGAAAGTATCTTTATGATCTTTGGGAAAGAAATGATTTCACAAATAAAACCAAAAAAAAAAAAGAAATAAAGGAACTAACCAAAATCTGGCTGCATTAGTGTAAAAGTACTCTTTATCAAATATACTTTAAAGAAAGTGAAAAAGTAAGTCAAAAACTGGTAGGATAAGTTGGTAATGTGTAATTGACAAAAGATTAGTAACTTTAATATCAACATAACTGACAAATGAACACAAGATATTAAAAGGCTTCTAAATGGAAAGATGCATAGCCTCATTAGTAACTAGGTAAATATAAATTTAAAACAAAATACCTTACATCGGTACTACTTAAATGGTGACCAGTAGGTCTGTTACAGCCTGCAACCAAATTAAGCTTATACCAGAGTGCAAAATAAACATGCTAAGTGAGGGCAATTATCTACATGGATAAGAGTATGAATTGGAAACCACTTTGGAAATCACTTTGGAAAACATTACCCAGTGAAGCTGAGCATGTACATCTCAATGATACAACAATCGTATTTCTAACCATGTAGACCCTTTACACACATGTACTAAGAGACTTATGCAAGACTGATTGTAACATTGTTATAGCAAAACTTCAGAGAACTCAAACATTCATCTACAATAGAGTAGATAAATATTTTGTGGTGTATTTCTCTAATAGAAAGCTATAGGACTGTAAAAATAAACACTGCAATATAAGTGAGTTTCATAAGCATAATGTTGAGCAAAAAAACCTAAGCGAAAGAACCACTATTTAGAATCCCCAGTCGTGACAACCAGAAATTATAATTTCAACAGATACCAAACTGCCATAGACTAAGAGAAACCAAATTACAAAAATATCGCCATTTAAGGAAAGCTTTAGACCATGATATCTCTATTTTCAGTCCCTCTGCAGTCAATGTGTCTACCTCATTCACACTTAGCAAGTAACTTCACTCGCTACTTCAAAGAAAATGCCCTCAAAATGTCCTCAACTGCTTATGAACCTACCTGAATCTGCACTCATTCTCTAAAGTCTCCCCAATCCCCACCCCGGGGTAAGGAGATGGGAACTACTCCAGATCTTTTGTTACTTTCTTCTTTTAGTCTATACAGAGTTTAGCATTCTGCAGGCATCAGTTCTAAACTGCCTTCTTAACAGACTAATATTCTCTCTCTCTAGATCTTATCCATTTGGTCTTTGCCTTCTACAACCACCAGACTAGGCCTCCATCACCTATTACCTGGTTATGGCAACAGCTTCAAACTATTCTGTCTTCTGCTTTTGGTGCGCTCCATTTCTTTTCTGCCTATAATTAGTAAGAAGAATCACTTTCAACACATTCACAAAGGGGCTGTAATTCATATGTCTCACTGCTAGATGGCTCTAAACCACTGGTGCTACATGCATGACCGTCAACATGGGACAGTCATGCATGTACCACAAGTAGTACAAACCATCCCATGAAGTTATGCATGTAGCACCAGTAGTTCAAGCTGGCAGGAATGTGTTTAAATGAACATTTTCCTCATGTCCTTATATCACTTGGATGGCTTAACCAGGCTCTTTGAAAAAAGTAAGCTCTTACTGAAGTATTCCATGAGTTACTTCTAACCTATCTAGTGAGTTTCGCCTAACACCATTCTCCCTCATGCTCACCATGCTTCAAATGCACTTATTTCCTTTTAGTTAGCTGAACACACCCTGTTCTTCACCACCTTACAATTTTCGTATACAATCTTCCTCCCATCTGTGACATTCTCCCTTCACATGGCTAATTCCTAGTAATCCACCCATCTTTCAGGGACTCTACTTAAAACATTACTTCTTCAGAACAGGTTTCCCTGAAGAACCACAGTAGATGTGGTCTCCCATAAACTCTTATAGCACCTTCTACTTTTCTTTCTCAGCACTTAGAAAGGGCATTTATAACAAAAGAAAGAATTATCCATTCAATGTCTACTCCTCAATAGATGCTATACGCCACAGGCAGGGAATGTGGACAACTTATTCACCATTGTATCCCTAACAGTTAGCTCAGTGTTTGGCAAATGGAGACCCAATAAATATCTGTTGAATGATGAACAAATCAGAGCAAAAACTGGATTCAAACTGCTTTAAATATTATCCATTATAACACATAGAAGGGGGCAGTGTGTGTGTTTGTAATAAAGTTTTATTGGACATGGCTAGCTCTTTTTTTACATTATTATCCATAGCTGCTTTTATGCTACAATGGTAGAGTTCAGTAGCTGGTATATATGTCCATCAACAGATGGATGAATAAAGAAAGTGTGGTACAGTATTTATACACAAGGGAGTACTACACTGCCATAAAGAATAAACTTGAGTCATTTGTAGGAAAATGGATATACCTTGCGACCATAATGTTAAATAAAGAGCAAAATAAAAGATAGATAATAGGAAAGAGGGAGATGGAGATCTTTTGCAACAGAGAAAGAGACCAAGAGATAGGGCAAAGGGGAAGAGAGTGGAAGGGAAGGGGATGAAAAGAGAATTAAGATATGTTATTCACATGTACCAACTCTGAATAAGAAATGTAATCATTATGTACTGCAAACATATACTAATAAAAAAATTCAAAAAAAATAGAAATCTATGGCTTATAAAGCTAAGGCATTTATAGAGCAGAGGATGAAGCTCGGTGGTGCTGCATCTGCCTGGCAAACACAAGGTCCTGAGTTCGATTCCCAGTACCAAAAAAAATGAAAGCTAAGGTATTTACTACTGAGCACTTTACAGAAAGTATTTTCTGGTCCCTGCTGTAAGCATTTATCTTTTTTTTTTTTTACCAGGATTCGGAGTAAGTAGAACTACTACTGAGCAGACCACTAAGAAAGGCACCTACGCAAATGCCACAGCAGGAATCCAGTTGAGAACACTGTGCTTTGGACACTGTCCAGAGAGCAAAAGAGCAATCAGCAATAAGAGTCCACCCAAATTCCCAGATACTCATGATCATCAAAATATGTGACTGGCTGGGTATGGTGTTATGTGTCTGGAGTCCCAGCACTCAGGAGGCTTAGGCAAGAGGACTGAGAGTTTAAGGCAAGCCTGGGCTACACAGCAAGTTCAAGACCAATCTGAACTACCCAACAAGACTCTAACTCAAAACACCAAAAAGAAAAAATAATTTTTGAGTCTTCAAGATGGGTTTTTATAAAATCACACAATTTTTTAGTCATGTCTTTGTGTAATTATCCCACCCACTTATATTTCTATGTATTTATTTCATACAGTTTGACTGAAGGTGTCCTAAAATAGAACTGCTTGAAGATTAAACACCAAAAGATATTTTAGCAGCAACACTAGATTTTTAGAAGAAAACACAAGTCTTGCTACATAAACTATAAAGGGGTGTTATGGCTTATGTCTAGATGTCTCCCCAAAGCATCATGTGGTCACAGGTGGGGCTTTTCAGAGGTGGCTAGATCTAGAGTGTGTGATGCTGGGATCAAGGATGTGTGATTACTAAATTAGTCCACTGCTTAGTTTGCCATAGTTCTGGGTGTGGATAATGGGAAGGCCCACTGTTGGTGTGAGTGCTACCTACCCTAAGAGAATGTACCCTGGATAGAATATAAGGGACAGAAAGAGGGCTGCGGTCATCACTTGGCGCTCCCTACACTTTGCTAGTTGCTGCTTTGCTGCCTTCCTACCTTCTGCCTGCCAAGAACTGTTTCTCCTCTGCCATGCCACCCTGCCTTGGAGCCAGCCGATTACAGACTGAAACCTCTACAAACTTTGAGCCAAAATAAACCTTTCCTCCTTTAACTTTAGGTGTTGAGTATTTTGTCTCAACAATGAGAAAAGTAACTAAGACAAGGGTCATGATGCAAGACACAGCAAAGCTATTCGCACAAGAGGGTGGGGGAATTTTTTGATGATCCATTATTCAGTCATTCAATAATGAATGTGCCAACAAAAATATAAGGGCTGGTCAAAAAATATGATATACATTTAAATTTTTTTTAAATTTATTACAGTAAAAGATATAATGTCACCATTCCCTCTCAATGTACTCACCCTTTCTTTTTTTTTTTTTAGATCTTATAGATTTATTAATGAAAAATACTTTACAAAAACAGTATGTGTGGCCCTAAAATAGATCAACTGACTGAGGGTTTATAATGGCGACTGAGCAAGTGGCAATAATGGCTCTGCTGCTGAGGAAAAAGGGTTTGTTATGGTTCCTGACTCCATCTCTTCAGAATGGTGGATGTTATGTTGGCAGCTCCACACACCAGGTTTGGGACATA